AAAATATCCCTTTATCAATTTAAATGGTGCTGGGAAAACTGGATAGCCACTGTAGAAGGCTAAAACAGGACCCACCCTTTCACCTCTCACAAAAACCAACTCACGCTGGATAAACGGCTTAAACCTAAGATATGAAACTTAGAACTCTAGAGGAAAAGTTGGAAACACTCTCCTAGAATCGGCCTGGGCAAAGAGTTTATGAAGAAGTCCCAAGGCAATCACAGCAGCAACAAAAAATAAATAAATGGGACATGATCAAACTACAAAGCTTCTGCACAGCCAAAGAAATAGTCATGAAAGTAAACAGACAACCCACAGAATGGGAGAAAATTTTTGCATCCTATGCATCTGATAAGGGACTGATAACTAGAATATACTTAGAACTCACAAAAATCAGGAAGAAAAAATCAAATAACCCCATAAAAAGTGGGCAAAGGACTTGAACAGAAACTTTTCTAAGGAGACAGAAGAAATGGCCACAAAACATATGAAAAAATGCTCATCTCTAATCATCAGGGAAATGCAAATCAAAACCACAATGAGATATCACTTAACCCAGTGAGAATGGCTTTATCAAAAATCTCCAAAGAATAAATGCTGCGTGGTTGCGGAGAGAGAGGAACACTCCTATACTGCTGGTGGATGCAAACTAGTTCAACTTTGTGGAAAGCAATATGGAGATACACTTAAAGCGATACAAGTGAATCTACCATTTGATCCAGCAATCCCATTGCTGGGCATCTACCCAAATGATCCAATGACACTCTACAAAAAGAACCTGCACTCGAATGTTGTATTAGCAGCACATTCATAATTGCAAGGCTGTGGAAACAGCCCAGTGCCATCAATCAAGAATGGATTAATAAAATGTGGTATATGGTATACCATGGAGTCTATTCAGCTCTAAGAAACAATGGTGATATAGCACATCTTATATTTTCCTGTTAGAGCTGACCTCATACTACTAAGTGAAGTATCCAAGAATGGAAAAACAAGCACCAGATATATTCTCCAGCAACTGTATTAACTGAGCAGCACCTAGTGGACACATAGGTACTACCAGTAAATAGGTATTGGGCAGGTGGGAGGGGTAGGGGGGTATATACATACATAATGAGTGAGATGTGCACCATCTGGGGATGGTCATGATGGAGCTCAGACTTTTTGGGGGAGGGGAGGAAATGGGCATTTATTGAAACCTTAAAATCTGTACCCCCATAATATGCCGAAAAAAAATATATTATATAATATATATATTTGAGGTAAGAGGGGCCTGCAAACTGTCTTTAATAGCACTAGATCAATGTTAAAATCTCCAGATGAAGGAACAGGGAATCACACTTTAACAAGTGCCCTGGGTGATTCCTATGGTGAGGAAAAGCTGGCCACTTGTGGTAGGGGCATACGAACCGTGGCTAGTTGTCTACTCTAAGGAGCGGAGGAATGATTCTGCTCCATTGTAGGAGTTCTTCCTGGCCATATTGAATTGCTGGGTATGATATGTAGATACAGTGCTTTTCTTCCTTTCCCTTCTTCTCTCCTTCCCTTCTTTCATTCCTTCCTTTTCTTTTTAGTAAATATGAACAATACTAAACAGTGACTATAAAAGCGAAGGTGGAATACAAATCGAATGTCTGAGGCCTTGGGATAAGTGAATTAGCAAAAATACTATTTATTTGATTAGTAAATATTATGGACTTCCTACAGGAACTGAGACTTGGAAGCCTAAGATGGTTATGTAATCAACTAGTGTCCCATTTGCTAGCACATGGTGAATAAATTTAAGAATTTATGGAGAAGAAAAAAGAAAATGTCAATTAGATGGCTTTAATAATTAATTTGATATGTCAATAATAAATTTTATCAGGATAATCAGTCTCAGAAAAGTAATAAATACGTTAACTTCTTTTCACATATTGATATATACAACCTAGTTGTCATTTAACCTGGAAAATAAGAACTAGGGCCCCAAATTATATCTTGATATGAGAGTGCTTATCTATAGTATCATAGTATCATAGTCAGAATAATTTTAAGCGGGATATTATGTATGTGCAAAAACCCTACAACAATTCAGCATTTTCCCTCTAAATTATATGACATTTTAGAGAAGACCATTAAACAGATGTCACATTTTAGTATAGAAAGGATGAATAATGGTGATGTTTTAGTAATTATTGTTAGAATTTTCATGACATCATCTTAAATTTGGTTTTTAAATCTGTCTCCTGTTTCATTCGTTCACTTATAGCAAGTATTTAATAAGCTCCTACTATGTGTTAGGTAATGTTCTACCTACTGGGATTGTATCAGTGAATGTGACAGCCCAAGGTTCTATACTCATGAAGCTGAAGTTTTACTGATAGAGACAGGAATAAACAAACAAACAAAAAATGACATGCAAGGTGTTTTTTACTCAAGTTAATAACAAAAGCCCTTTCTAAGACAGTTACCTTTGACCAGAGATCTGAGGGAAATAAGAACCCACATCATGTGGCTATCTAAGGAAAAGTATTAATAATTCTTCACAGAGGGAACGGCCAGTGCAAAGGCCCTAAGGATGGATTGAGCTTAGAATGTTCAATGTGAAACCAAAATGCTGTGTGAGTGGAATGAAATGAAAAGTAATAGGTGGAGAACAGATATTTTAGAACTTTTTATGGTAGTTTACCAAAGTATCTTAGGAGAATACAGCATGCTCTTCAATTCTCATCTCTTCTCCCACTAAGGCTACAAATCTCATATCTACTTATCACACATCATTTTCCATGATGTTCAGAATAATGCATTTCTATGTGGAAAATCTGAAATAAATATAAATTAAATGTTTAAGTGATTGAATTAAATGAACCAAGTTCATACCATATACCCAGAATTAGAAAACAAAAAAGCCTTTTATAGAGAATTTTTTGGTAATTAGTTGTATGAAGCCTTTGGGTACAGTTTTCTTATTTTTAACATCAGGGGGTTAAATTAAGTAATTGTTGAAATCTTTTCTTCTGTAAAGTTCTGTGATTTCAAATGTATTATTTACTTTTCATTTGTGAACAGAGCTCTGTCATAGTTGTCTGTAGTTGTGAATTAGTTTTAGACAAATATATATACACAACTTCAATAGGATTCATAGGAAAGCCACAAATGTAATCAAAGATATAGAAAATATCTTAAAGAAGAGGTACAACACAATAAGATTTACATGTCTAGTGAAGAGATATAGTGAGAATTTAGTATTAATTGGCAAAGCTACACAGGATTGGAAATTGCAGTTTATGGAGGCTGTTTGCTTTGGATTCAAGTCCTGGCCTTATTACTTACTTTCTAGGTACATTGTGATCTTGGATTAATAACCTTAAATTTCTCTGGGATCAGCCTCCTCAACTGTAACATGTGTTTATTTATACCCATCTCCTAGAGTTATTGTAAAGAATTTTTTGATAATGTACATAACTTAGCACAGAGCTTGACTCAAGGTGCTAAATGAAAGACAGATCCGTTTTCTCTTTTCCCCCTCATTTGGCACATAGAAAACAAACCTGGACTCTTTATTCAGAAACATTGCTTTCTGAAAGTTTTTATTTCTGGTATAAAACAGAATGTTTTGGATATAGTAAGTACTAATAATGTTCAGGGCAATGGTAATGATACTTTATAGAGGAGCTACTGACTGACCAGTTGTATTAAAGTAGGAGTTCTAGTTTATATCATGAAGTTATTACAATGCTATAGAAGTGCTACAGTGCTACAAATGAATTTACAACGTTTGATAGAAGAATATATTTCCACAACAAATCTTTAGATAGAGGATAGTATGTGTCAGCTAATAATGGAATAATGATCATACCTTGAGTGTATATATTCTTGATGAAGATTTTTTTAAAAAGTTCTTTCTTGGTGTTGTACAGCTATTAGGAAAACAATTATTGAAAGGAAAATTTGTCCTTTTTTGGTAAAACATCTCAGCAGTCTAATCCTGCTAGAGATTTTAACAGGGATTGAATAGAGCCTTTAAGTTAAGCAGACCTAAATGAATCTGATTATTCCCTTATCCCCATACAAATAAAAACATCAGCTTCAGGTATGTCTATGTATTGATCTTTACAGAATGTGTGTGTGTCTGTGTGTCTGTGTGTGGTGTGTGTAGAAAAGGGGAATAGTTAAGCCATAGTAAAGTAGATCATTGACTTAAAACCATGTGGAATGGCAATCTTTCTTACTGATTTTTTCTTTTTTCTTGTAACTGAAAAGCAAATTATCTGTTAGTACATTGATCTCCATAAAGTCTGCTTGGGGCAACTGTTTTTCATAGGAAAGGGCTCTCAAGATCAGTACCAAACTTAAAATAGTAAAACCGAAGCAGGTAAACAAGGGCCTGTTTCATAAACTTGTTGAGACTGGGAATGAAGGAGTTAGAGAGTTGAGTAGAATCTCGAGAAGCACTGAAGTTATCAGTTTTGGGAAAATTTAAGACAAACACATGGAAAGAAAGTGAGGCTGACTTATCTTATCCCACTGCCTGAAAGGAGCATTGGCATCTGATATCACTCCTTGAAACTCTCAGTGCACAGTCACAAGCCCATTTTGAGCAACCCTAGAAGAAAGTATGATAACTAGAGGACAATCTTTGGACATGATGGTAATGCATAATTACTGAATTACAGAAAACATTGGAACACGTCATTTAACCTGTCACCCAACAATTCATTTTCATGGGAAGAACAACAAGAGAATGGGAATTAAATTACAGCAAGAAAACTTAAGGTTAAGAATTGAGTAAATTTTTTTTTATTCAAGTTAATAAAAAGGAAAAAGTGTTATCTTTTAACATTGATGTTTGTAATCAATATTTACTCAAAGAATGTGTTTTCTAGAGATTTTTAAGATAGCTTAAGATCAAGGTTCTACAATAATTCCTTCTCCCATTTTTCCTTTTAAGATCATTTTTCATTATTTTTAAAATTAAATATAAACTGTTTAAGTATTAATTAAGTTTTGAATTTTCTCTTTTTAAAATTGTTTGCCATTGTGGTTGTTGCTGTTTTGTTTTTCTAGAGACATTAAAGGTCAATGTAAAAAGTCTCCTAGCTACTATGAAATTGAAAGAAATACTTGGTGTGCCATGTTAAACTCTTTCATGCCTCTAAGATATATTTCTGATCTAAATGAGATAGTGAGATTACTGTGTATGCTTTGAGTGGATTGTATTGGGCAATGTTTCACTTTATTTGTTGTTTAGAAATAAATGTATATATGTAATATTTTTAATTCCAAATGTAAACTTAGCCAAATTACATTTAGACTTTTCATACACCTTAGCCTATCAGTGTTAACATCATCCAAATATTGTTTAACATCACCCAAATACCAAGTAATATTAAATCCAAACTCACCATGAAGTGCTAATATCATCAGTCCTCTATTGCCTCCACTAATCTAAAAAGTAATATTGCATAGAAATAGCTCATGCAGTTTCTCATATGCTTTTTCATCCAACAAATGTGGCTGTGATTAAGTACTCATAAGCAAAGAGTCATGTAATGAAAAAATTTACATACATATGAAATAAGCACATTGATTCTCAGGCATGAGACAAAGTATATCATCTGTTTCTTTGTATCAAGTTTTTTTTTTTCTTTTAACAAGCAAGATACCAAATAGTGATTCTGAAATATAAACTTCTTCATAAACATATGTTGAATTCAATATTGTTTCACTTACTTGTGAAATGCAACAGTTTTTCTGAAAAAGGCCTGCATAGATCTCTGCAGAATTTATATTAATCTCAGGAGACATACCAACTGAGAACATATTAAGTTGCTTCTAATTTTATTTTACCCTGGAGTATTTTAAAATTTTGTTCAATCTTTATAGAATGCATTTTCAAAAATAGATTTCCACTTTCAATAATGATGTGTTCACTAATCACAGTACAATATTTATAGATAAACCAATAATACTTTTGGTATGGAATTTGTTAATTATTCACATTTGTGCATGCATATCCAAAATGCATAAGCTTCAATAAAATAAGTTTGGTTCCATGTACATAAAAATGAGAAGAAATAAAAGGAGAGATGCTATGTACTCCCTCTATTTTGACATTTTAATGGAGAATTTTAATAAGTGGAACTCTCTCTCTGGCACATACTTGTGGGTTGGAGTTCAACGATTTTCATGATATGATTCTGGCCCCTTCAGGAGATAGAAGTCAAGAGCAGAATGAAGGGTTTTGTCCCAACTATGGGAGTTGTGAAAGCAAAGTAGCAGATTGACGGTGGCAAAGCTGAACTGAGTAATATAAGGAGCCTCTATAAACTCCTTGTGTGGGTTTCAAGTTTTAAGCATTCATTGATGGCTTTCATTGTGGGTGTGACAGAAATATTCTACAAGTGGCCTGCCCTCACCTAAGGCAAATTGAATTTTCTTCTCACAACTTATACAGTTTTCCTTCTTGTCATAAGCAACATTTTTGAAGTAAAAAAGTGACAATTGTTAACTAAAAGATCTTTACCCCAATGCCAGTAGGTTTGATTTAAAGTGTTCTTTTTTTCTTTGATAGATTGTGATTGTGACAAAACAAAGTCATTCAATTAAAAGTTTTCTGGGACTGCGTGAAGAATTGAAGAATGTGCATTTCCATCTTTTGCCTCTTTAAGAACACCATTTCCTAGATTTCCTCAAAGTTTTTGAGATCCATGGAGATATCTTGAGGGAAAGGCTTGACTGTGAGACAGTAAATAGCTGCTTGTCTATAGTCTGAATGGGGTGAATGATGATAGCTCTGGGGCAGGACTGAAGGGGAGAGAATAGAAGAGCTGGCAATGCTAGTGCCACAGCCTTTAAAGAGGGAAAGAGAAAAAATATCTGAACACCTCAGTGATTATCTAATTTTGTTATCCAGATGATATATGTGGTAGTCAATTCAAGTTCTTTAAGCTTTCCCCAAGGCAAGAAAACTATGTCCTGGAAATTTATGAAGTGAGAACATAAATATGTCAGACTTTTTATACTTCTAATTCAGAGTACCTCTTAAGATATCCTTCATTCAACGGAAAGATCTAGCAAGGTCCTATTATGTGGAACACAGTATGAAAATACTATCTCGTACCTGCATGACTAGTGTCTGCAGCAACCGTATCTTTATATGTCAATAGAAACAATCCATAGGACACTTCACAGATTCCATCCTAGAAGTATTAAATCAGAAGATGATTTGAATCAAATGAATTAAAATGCCTCCTTTTGGGGTGAAAGTTAGCCAGAAAGATCAGTGGGCCCATTCAGGGTAATAAAATGAGATAGGATAAGAGCTTGAACCAAACTGACCTCAGTCTCCCAGGCCAGGGCTTGTTCAAGTACACAGCATTGTAGGCAACAGGCTACATACAGGTAGAGGGATTGAGCTTTCTACACACAGATCTGACTATGTCACTTCCAAGTTTTAAACCCTTCAAAGCCCTTTGGGACCTCCTCAGGATAGAACATACAGTCAGTACCATGGCCAGCAAGTCCACACCTATCTACTTGGGCCCTTTTCATTTTTATAGCCTCATTTTCTTTTCTTTTCTTTCTTTTCTTTCCTGTTTTTTTTTTTTGTTTTTTTTTTTTGCCACCTTCTGCCTACTGAACTCTGTCTCTCAAATGATGCTGCTGGTGGTGTGTGTGTGTGTGTGTGTGTGAGAGAGAGAGAGAGAGAGAGATGTTGACTTTTTTCACATTCTGGTCTATTTTCCTAAAACTCTCTTCCACACATCTTCACAAGGCTAGCTCCTGCTCAACCTTTCAGCTTCAACGTAGTTATCACTATTTTAGGCTGGTTCCGTGCTCTCACTCTATGTTTCCTATTGTGATAGTACCTTTTGTCACATTGCACAGGTCTATTTACTTCTGGGTCCTTCTGCAGATTGTGACGAAAAATGATGTCTGTCTGGTCATCCCTGACACCTCTATGTTTGGTACCTAGTAGGCTATCTATAAATAAGTTATGATGACTGAGTAGAGAACTGGAATTGATGCAGAGTTCGGGGATGATTTCCCTTTTTTCCCTTATTTATCCCTAAATATCATTCTTTGATATTTTTCTCTCGCCCAAACACTTCCTCAAACCCACTGCCTCTACTTGAATCTCCTCCACCTATGATTACCATAGAATCTTCACCAAAGTCTAGAAGTTCAGGTTATAGTTGCAATTGTGCCCTCTTGTGGCACATTATGAAGTATGTCAGTCATGGGCCAGTAGACAGGTTACCTGGCATCAAAGCCCAGTGTTGCCAGTCTGAGTCTCAGGCTTCTCTTCTGCCTTGATTTCCTCATCTCCAAATTAGGGCTAATAACAATAACTACCTCATAGGACTGGAGAGAGAATCCTATGAGATCATCCAGGAAAAGCTCTTGGCCTAGTGTTGGGCATTTGATCACTGGCATTAAATGTTAACCATTGTTATTCTCAGTCTGGTCACTTCCAGATCTCTACGGAAAAAAAAAATCAGAATTCACTAATTCTAATTTCCATTAATTTCTTAATGGAAAATGAGTGTTGGAAAATGAGCACAATTAAGTGTGATCTTACTTCCATTTGTTACTTTTGGCATTAAAATGTTTAGTTTGAATGAAAATTGTATTTCCATTTAGAAGAAGTTTGGTAAAAACTACAATTTCTAAACTGCATAAACCTCATCTGTGGCATAGCTTTCTTTACCAGGGAAGTGGGCAGCTATGATCTCCGCTTAGACCTGATGGCTGCAAGACACCCAGGAGGAAATGAGGCTTTTCAATCCTAAAGTTATAAACCTCAGCGCAGACTGTAACAGAATAAGCTAAGCAAAGCAAATGGAGTGGGGGTTGGGGAGGGGGGGCGCTCATTCCACACTATGCATCGGCTGATGGGCTTGGCGTAAGAGCGCACAGGCTAACCTGGTATCAATTCACCCCTGTGTGAGGAGATTGAAAGTGCATGCTATTGCCTCTGCTTACAAAGTATTATTGGACAAGTAAAGGCAAGTCTATCCTAGAACTGAATCTTATGTACATTTTTTTTTCTGTCTTCCCAGACAGCTCAGCTCTCTCAAGCCAGCGGAGTAGTTTCCCAACTTCCTTTTGGACCAGCTCTTACCAGCCCCCACCTGCACCCTGTTTGGGGGGAGTTCATCCTGACTTTCAGGTCACTGCACCCCCTGGCACCTTTTCTGCAGCTGACCCCAGCCCCTGGCCAGGACATGGCCTGCATCAGACTGGCCCTGCCCCTCCCCCTCCCTCATCGGAGTCCTGGCGCTATCCTTTGGCATCTCAGGTGAGCCCATCCTACAGCCACATGCATGATGTGTACATGCGACACCACCACCCCCATGCCCACATGCACCATCGCCACCACCACCACCACCACCACCCTCCTGCTGGTTCTGCCCTGGATCCGTCCTATGGGTCCCTGCTGATGCCATCAGTGTGTACGGCCAGGATTCCTGCTCCCCAGTGTGACATCACAAAGACAGACCCGACTACAGTCACCACTGCTACCTCAGCATGGGCCGGAGCCTTTCATGGAACAGTGGACATAGTGCCAAGTGTGGGGTTTGATACAGGTGAGCTAGTAGATTTCCTCCTTTCCATAAAAAGAAGAAAAAGTTAGTTTTAAAAATGGCAGTTTATTTTCTGAAATATTTTTCTCTTATCTGTAAAGTTAGGCTTTGCAAATATGTTTATAGAACCTAACCATTTTGCAGTAATTCCTGCATTCCTGCAGAAACTGGTATGACTAGCTCATGAAAACAGTATGAGAAAGGTCTCAGAACTTTTCTCCCATCTCTTAGGCTAGTAATCTGCTCCTTTGAACTGGAATCTCTTGTACCTTATGTTTAGAGAGAATTGAACACATGCTCTAAATCTCCGATGTCTGTACTCTATACCATGTGCAATGCCTAATATTAATAGAATTCAGAAATAGTATGGTTCAGTAAATTTTTTGTCTCTCCTTTTTTGTTAAGCCTTATTTATGAAAGGTAAAACAAAATACTTTCTGGAATATAGTTTATTGTCTAGCCTTTTGAAAAAGAATTAGGGAATATATTCTAAAAGAATGGATTTTCATTTCTTTTCTTTCTTTCCCTTTCCTTCCTTCTCTGGCCTTCACTTCTTTTCCTCCTGCTCCTTCTCCTCTTGCTTTTCCTTCTCCTCCTTATTGTCCTCCTCTTTCTCTTCCTCCTCCTCCTCCTCCTCCTCCTTCTTCTCTCTCTCTCTCTGATTTAAATAACACAAGACTTAAAAGACTACTATAAAATTTATATTGAACAGATTTAGAAAAAAGTAGTAAGGAAAATATTTGTTCACAGAGCATTCATCTCCTCTCTGGAATTCACTAGTTCTGAAGGTCATGGTGTTAAATGTCTGAGCTTAATTTTGGACCAGACTAGTCATATTAATAGTATTAATAGTTCTGAGTTCATGAAATCACAGGCATCAGAGGCTAAAAAGACAAAACAAATCAATGATTACATCCCCAGAGTCTACATTCCAAAGTCACCCACCTCCACCTCCAATCCCAGGTTCTTTCGCTAGAACACTTTGTAACATACTGGAACATTCTTTCTAGAAGTTTAAAGAAATTCTTTTCTTCTTTAGTTTTTCTGTAGTGTGGAGGATCTTTAATCCAGTGCTGGTTCACAAAAGAAAAATCCCCAGAGTAATAGGTGGTTAACATCATGTTGCATTTGTCCTGACATAAGTGGGATATTCTTATCTTATTTAACGGTTGATTCTCCATGGAGCTTTCCAACCTTGATCATTGCCCTGCCCCACCCATGTCAGCTTCCTGTTGAGACTCTGGGCTGAAGCTGCTTTCCTAGATAGAATATTAGAGGATTTGTTTCTCCCTGTCCAGGAAGAGAGTGTCTGATGGGCCTAGCCAGCACAGAGTCCCCTTCTTCCTTTGCTGGATACTAGCAGAATAAAGGCAACTTTGAGTTGTTTGATACCTGAGGCCAGATCTTAGAGTCCCCGTTTTTGAGTTGATTTCATGGGCAACCCTGGAGGTTCTTTTCTATTTCATGAGATACCTGTGTAACCGGAGTAATACTGCTCTTAGTAGACAAGAGGAGTGGTTGCCCATTTATGAATTCTGTCAATAAAGGGGGAAGTGGATGTGATTGCTTGTTGTTCTGTCATTTTTGCCTACTTTTGTACTTGTCAACTTTGGTGTGAGCTTGATTCACTGACTCGTTCAGAATTTTGGCTTAAAATAGTCTCATCATGATGAAAAGTCATCATCCTCTTTTTAAGAAGTGGACAAGAAAAGATTTTTGTTCTCTGTGAAAAATCTTGAGATGGCCTATTTACATATATTATATGATAGTTCTTGAAACTTACTGAGCTATGAATGAATATTTATTCTTCACAATATAAATATAAAGCATTACTCAAGGTAATTTTGTATATCTATGTGTATGTATGTGTATATATACACACGTATTCATAATTGCTTTTAATTCTTAAACTAAATCTGAGATGAATCTTATTAGATTCATTTAAAAATAAGGAAACTGTGGCTTAGTAAACAAACTTGCTTAAATTGCATTGTTATGTGTCCAGGCTGAGGTTTGAACTAAGACCTGTTCCCCTCTAAGGGAACTGGGGTAACACCTTTCTGTGTAAATAATAGGTAAATTAGGTAAGAGTAGGTAAATTAAACTGTTAAGATGGTTAATAGTGAATGTAGGTTTCCCTATTGAATGTACGTAGTACATTGTACATTGTACATATACTCTTTGTCAGTGTGGACTTAGGACAATGATCACAATTCATCCCTATCTTACAAGTTTTGACCCAACTGAGAAAACAAAAGCATCAAGAAGATAAGAATACAATTATTAGCATACTCATTGATCAGGTGGAATTGGAGATCCTAGATTGGGCTTAATGCTATAATTGGACTTCTTAGTACTTTGAGCTAAATTTAGATTCTGGGAGATCCAATCTCTGGGAAAATATGAACTTTAGAGGGACATTTCCCTTATCACACAGTTTGGAGCACCATTAGTGTTAAAAGATATTGATGATTACTCAGATTTTCCTCTGAAAAATATAATCTGACATGGCCCTTGTGTATTTACACTACAAAAAGTAGTAGCAAGAGGGCCATGTAACTCTGTGCATGGGTCCTGCCCTCCCCCCCCCCAAAAAAAAAAAAGATTGGAAGGGATGGAGCCATATGTGGTAATTTTCTCCTCCTAAATTCAGACACAATATTAAATACTGCATCTCTTTTCCTTTGAGAGGAGTTAGAGATGGGTGTGGGAGGTCAATTTCTCCTGGAAACAGACTCTAAGTCTCAGATGGCTTGTAGACAATTGAGGCGGTAATGTAATAGAACAATATTTTTGTGGGATGAAAGATTTGGACAGAAGGAGTAGTCTCACTGATGAAGTTCAACAAAGACAATAATTTGAGTGGGTCCTTCACAACTGTCCTTCCCTGAGTCAAGAGGGTTGGCCTTTGACATTCCTGCAGTGACCAATTATTGGTTGTAATCTGCCTCTGAGAAGGGGATGCAACATTGGACGAGGTGGCTTTGCTCGGCTGAAGGCAATTCCCAAAGAGAGAAACAACTGAAAGTCAGAAGGTGCCAACAGCCTCAGTCTTGAAGAGGAGTGGATCCGGTTGCACACTACAGTGTCCATTATAGGGGAAAACAAAAGGGTAGTAGTGACTTGACCACTTTTCCAACTATTTGTAAAAGAACAGAAGTTGCTGCATAATAAGCCTAAGTGAGGAAGGGGTAGGGCAGTTACAAAGAGTGAGAGATGGGTCCCTCAGCATTAATGCAGCATCTAACTAAGGGTGACTCAGAATCAATGCTGGGTGGCTACTGAGCCACCCAGGGAAGAGACAGTCATAAAATCCTTCAAGGTTCAGGTACCTGGACCGCTAAAATGTAGGTCATTTTCATATCCATTAGAAGGTAAATACCTTATCCCAGCTATTTCGAGAATAATTTGGTAAAGGACATGATCTTTTCTTCAGAAGAGAAATGATGCCTTAGTCTTTTCAAGATCCTATAATGAAATACCATAGACTGGGTGATTTATAAACAACCAAAATTTTACAGTTCTGGAGGTTAGGAAATCCAAGATCAAGGCATTGGTAGTTCTGGTGTCTGTCTGGTGAGGGCTTGCTTCCTAGATGGTTATCTTTTTCACTGCAACCTCATATGGTGAATGAGGCTAATGATCTCTAGGGGTCTCTTTTATAAGGGCACTAATTCTATTCATAAAGGCTCTGCTCTCATAACCTAATTACTTCCTAAAGCCCCACTTCCTAATACCATCACCTTGGGGTTAGGAGTTCAATATCTGAATTTTGACAGGGGATAAATGTTCAGTCCATTGCAAATGGTTTAATAATTTTATATGCGTTTTTATTTTGTAGTCATTTAAAGAAATTAAGAAAATCTTGAAATCTTGAAGATTGAACATGATATAATCTTTAACAACAAAAGAAAGTTTTATAGTATCATGTATAATAAAATATATAATTCAGGGATTAATTTTTCGGTGAAGAAACAGATAGAAATCTTTTATATTTTTCCATGTCACCACTACCTAGGTCTGTTCTGGTAGTGCAGAAATAGCCATAGACAAAACTTAAATGAGGATGATTGTGTTCCAATAAAACTTTATTGATGGACGCTGAAATTTTAATTTTGTATACTTTCCATGAATCATGAAATGCTTCTCTTCTTTTTTGTATTCTTCTTTTTCAAGCATTTAAAAATGGAAAACCCATTTTTCCATTCTTAGCTCATGGGCTATGCATAAACAGGGGGTTGACCAGATTTGGCCTGTGGATAGTTGCTGAGCCCTAGAATAGTATCTGTGTAAAATGTTGATTTTCTCCACAAAAATTCAAACATGTGGGCACATGCGCTCCCTCAATGAAAATAATCTGGAAGTGTATACCCCTAACTTTTAATGGTAGTTACTCCTGATAAATTAGTGAGTTTCTGAGCTTTGCAGCCAGACTGCCTGACTGTATAAACCCAGCTGTGGGCTTATACACTTACAAAAAAAGAAAAAAAGAAAGAAAAGAAGAAAAACATACTTTGGGCAAAGGATTTAAACTTTATTGTACTTCAACTTCCTTGTCTGTAAGAGATGCCTAATAGGATTGTTTCAAGAATTAAATTAGTTAATGCAGTTACAAAATTAGTTACAAATGTACCTGGCACAAAACATGTACTCTGCAAATTTTAGCTATACAAGGGAATGTGGACAGACTTTCACTTTTTTTAACTTTGAAAAAATTATTATTTAGCTATAGTTCACAGTATCACATACTTCCCCATTTTAACAAATACAAGTCAGTAGTTTTCTAGTGTATTCACAGTGTCGTGCACCCATCTCCACTATCTAATTTTGGAACATTTCATCACCTCAGTAAGAGTTCCTAGGACTTTTAGGAGTCACTTCCAATTCCCGCTAACCCCTATGCCTGGCTACCATGAATCTCCTTTCTGCTTCTGTAGATTTTCCTGTTTTAGACATTTCATATAAATAGAATCATGCTATATGTGGCCTTTTGTGTCTTTTTT